AACCCAGCGAGCCCGGCAGGCCAGAGCCGTGCTGAAGCCCCCGACAGGGGCTGCGAGCGGCGGGGCACCGGCGGGGCACCAGCCCCCTGCCAGCATCCCCGCTCCATCACTGGGCCAGCCCCCACACCACCCCGCAGATCTGCTTTCTGCAGAAAACCCAGCTCTGCCATCCCAGGAGGATGCACGGAGAGGAGGAAAACAGATTTTTAAAAGCACTCAGCTAAAAAAAAAAAATAAAAAGAATGCAGTATTTAAAATTTTTTGAGTGTGGGTTTTTTTTTTTTTTCCCTGTGGATTTTTTCAATGGCACTCAGTGCAAGGTGCACTTGCAGCCAGGCTGTGGGAGCTCATTGCCAGAGGGGCCAGGGCAAGCAGGCTGGGTGGGGGGATGGTGCACCCAAACGGGGTCAGCCTGGCTGTGGGAGGGGACCACGGTCACAGCCAGGATGTCACCGCTTGGCACTGGAGCATGGGCTGTCCCCTCCGCCCGTGGGGCTCACCCAGAACCAGGCAGTGCTGGCGGCTGGGACACCCCGGTGCAGGGAAGGGCTGGGGGCTCTCGATGCCGGTGTGTTTTTACCACCTGGAAATTGTCAGTTATTCAGCAACAAGCAGAATTTTTGTTTCCCTCCTCTCCGCCTCAGCCCCTTCTGCTCCTCTGACTCTAGCCCCGATGCTGCAGAGACATCCCCATCCCAGAGCATCCCAGGACCCCCTTCCCAGAGCTGGGGAGCATCACACTTGGTCGCTGAGGGGCCATATCCATGGGAAGGGAACCAATGGGCCACATGGAACATGGCCAGGCCCTGAGCAGCTGTGCTGGGCACCCTGCTTCCAGGGAGCTGCTAAGAGGGAGGGCTCCGTGTGCCCTCCTCCAAGGGCCCAGGGTCAGCGTGGGGTCTGGGTCCAGCACTGAACCCCTGACGGGGGTGGTATGAACAGGGTCCTGGTGCAGGTCCCCCAAGCCACCTCCCCTCCCTGCACAGCAAAGCTCCCGGCTCCTTCTGCAATAACTGCCCAGACCGAGCAGGAATTACCCCAGGGAGCAGGGAGATGAGGGCTGCACAGTAACATGGGCTGAACAAGCCAGCCGGCACGGCCACGCAAAGGCACCGGCAGGGGTGGGGGCCCCCCAGCGCCACAGGCC